AAACTCATATTCCCCAATTGCAAAACATATTACAAGGTCACAACAGTGTGGTACTGGTATAAGGTTAAACTATAGATCAGTGGAACAGAATTGAGAATCCAGGAATAAACCTTCATATTTATAGTCAATTTAATTTCAACAAGAACGCCAAGAATTCAATAAGGAAAAACGTAGTCTTTCTGATAAGTTGTGCTAGGAAATCTTGGTCTCCACTTGTAAAACATGAAGCAAAGCCTCTACCTCATACCATATACAAAAATTAGCTAAAATAGATCAAAGACCTAAATGTGAGAGCAAAATTTATAAAATGCTTCCTGGAAAATGTAACAGTAGATTTCTAAAACCTTAGACTAGATAGTGATTTCTTAGGTATGAAACCAGAAGTACAAGCAACAAAGGAAAAAACAGATACACTGGACTTCATAAAAAATGTAAAAGTTTTCTTCTTCAAATGATACTATCTAGAAAATGAAAAAACAATCCACAGAATGGGAGAAAATTTTGGCCAGTCATATATCTGACAAAAGGGACTCATACCCAGAACATATAAAGGAAAAAAAAAAAAAAAAAAGAACTCTTACACCTCAACAATAGGAAGACAAATTACCAAATTTTAAAATTGGCAAAGGATTTGACATTTCTCCAGAAAAGATATTCAAATGGCCAATAAACACATGAGAAGATGCAAAATATCATTATGATGTACAGCCATCAGGGAAATACAAACCAAATCACAATGAAATAACACTTCATACCCACTAGGATGGCTATAATCATAAAGACCAATGATAACAAGCCTTGGTAAGGATGTAGAGAAATGGGAACACTTCTACATTGTTGGTGGGTATGTAAAATGGTACAGGCACTTTGGAAAACAGTCTGGGAGTTCCTCAAAAAGTTAAATGCAGAGTTACCATTTGACCCTGCAATTCCACTCCTAGGGATATATCCAAGAGAAGTAAAAATATATTCACACAACAGCAATATTTATAGTAGACAAAATGTGGAAGCAACCCAAATATTCATCAACTGACAATGGATAAATAAAAGGTGGTATATGCATACAATAGAATATTATTTGGCAATAAAAAGTAGTGATATATCTACATTGAAAACAGTATGCTAATGAAAAGTCAGTCACAAAAAAAACACATATTGTATGATTCTATTTATAAGAAATGTTCAGAATAGGCAAAACTATATAGACAGAATACAGCCCAGAGTGGACAACAAGAAGTTTCTGTTCATGGGTTGGGAGTTCTTTTAGGGGTGATGACAACGTTCTAAATTTGACTGGTGACTGTTGCACAACTTAATGAATATACTAAAAACCATTCAATCATACACTTTAAATGGGTAAACTGCATGACATATAAATTATGTCTTATTTTTAAAAATTAGAGTTGTCCCCAAAGTGGAAAATAATCCCTCACTGGAAATAATGTTAAGCAAAGGCAAATGGCCTTCTGTTGGAAATATTACTGTAAAAGATTAATTTAATTAGTGGTTCCCAATAGCAGTTCAGACTAATACACAAAAATCACCTAGGGAATTTAATGACTTTGGTTCCCTAAAAAATCTAATTCAGTATGCCCACCGGGGTTCAGGAATCTGTCATTTTAACAGGCTCCCTAAATTATGTTAATATACACCAGAAGTGGGAACCATTAGACCACTCAGATCCTAACTCAATGATTTATGATTCTCTGGTATCTATGAGAGACATATTACTAGATCTGGTATCTATCTAGTATTTTCCATTCATCTAAGAATTTCAAAGTCCTTAATGCCACTCACCTCCCTGAATTATAAAAGTTTGAGTTTACAAAGAGGTGGTTTCATCTGATGGATTACAACACCTCACATACTTATATTAACCTTATGTGTTTCCTTTATTTAAGCTAATTCTAATCTTTTTTTGGAAAAGAACGGGTTTAAATAAATTTAATAAAAGATCATATATTCTCTAAAACTTTCTTTCTCAAACTGGGACACACTGGAGAGTCCATTTTTTCCTCAAATATTTATAATTTAAGATATTTTTATTTTAAAAATGCAGGTATATTATAAAATCAAATGCAATTTTTTTATGAATTTTTAAGATAGAGCCCAGAAACTTCAAGGAAAGTCTGTATTTGCCACAGGAATTACTGTTCTACATTCCCAGATTCTAAGGGTACATACTCATTCTCTTCTGCAATTAATACGTCAGTGGAAAAACCCAAGATGTCTAGGCATTCTGTTTTCATTCCATGGATGGTGAAATATTTAATCCCCATGTATTCAAAACCATATACAATACAAACTAATTGGGTTACTAGTGACTGTGTTCTGTGCACTTCAAGAAGGGAGGAAAATAAGTCTGAACTGAATCTAAGAACTAAAGCATAACATGTTAACAACTGAGTGGAAAGTCCTTTGGAGGCCTGCAGTGCTGGGGGAAATGTCTGCTGAGGGTCAGGCCTTGTAGTTTATCCTGTCCTACTGTTTTAGCCAGAAGACAATGAACATCAAGGGCACCCTGGGGGGCTGAGTAGACCTCACCCAGCTAGTGGAAGGTGCACTCTAGTTTCTTATCTAGGCTTGCCCAGTCTATTGGTCCATGAAGAAACACTGCTGAGGCCTTATGTTTTTATAAATTGATTTGAGACAGAGAGACAGTGAGATGGAGAGAGAGAAATAGAAACATCGATGAGAGAGAAACATCAACATTGATGGTCTGCCTCCTGTATACCCTCTACTGGGGATCGAGCCTGCAGCCTAGGTATGTACCCTGATTGGGAACTGAACTAGTGACTTCCTAGTACATGGGTCAATGTTCGACCACTGAGCCACACCAGCGGCTGGGCAGAGGCCTTAGATTTATCATAGCTAAAGAGAAAGTGTTCCCCTCATATGTAATCTCTCTTTTAGATATAGTGCTTTGATTTTTTTTTTTAACTGTTCTTTTTCATATAATTTCTCAAAACATTTGTGACAACTTCTCTCAGAGACAAAATATCAGAAGAGTTGTCTGACATAATTATATAAATCAATCTCCTCAATACTAAAATAGAAAAGTGGAGCCCAGCTGGTGTGGCTCCATGGATTGAGCATCATCCCACAGACTGAGAGGTCCCAGTTCAATTCCTGGTCAGGGCATATGCCTGGGATACAGGCTCAATCCCCAGTAGGGAGCATGCAGGAGGCAGCCGATCGATAGTTCTCTCTCACATCAATGTTTCTATCTCTCTCTCCAAAAAATCAATAAAAACATATTTAAAAAAAAAAAATAGAAAAGTGAAGTTAACCTTAAGGTCCTTTCTAGCTTTTAAGTTCTACACTCTTACAATACTTGCCAATACTGAAGATATGCCTTGCAAATTTTAAACACAATTCCAAAACAAGAAGTTGTAAACATACAGTTCTTATCCTTTCCATCATAGTGTTCCTTCTTTCATCCTAGCTCAAAGACCTTTTTGTCTCCCCTCTTGGATTTTTGCAACTGTCCTCAATTCTGATCCTCAATCTCTCCTTAATCCATTATATTGACCACATTGCTGTTAGATGACATTTCCTTCAATGGCTCTTAACCTAACATTCAAGGCACTCCATAATCTTATCCCAGTTCATCTTTCCAACCTTGTCTAGTCCTTCGTTATATTAACTTACATTTCAGCAAACCGGTCAGTACCTTCTTCTACAATATATTCTACATATGATAACTTCTTACATTTTCTATGTCATTTCCACTACCTGAAATACTCTCTGCCATATTATCCACTTTTCTTCCTTTCTTCAAGAACAAATCTTACCTTCACTACAAAGCCTTTTCTGACAATCTTCTTTAAATTCCTGAAGCACCTAGCCTGTTATACATCTGGCATTTAACCTATGCTACCCTTCACAAGAGGTCTGCAGGAAAACTTCTGCCTCATTTTCTCCAGGTAAGCCCTTCAGCTTCAATATGGGGTGAATATATAACACATAGCATCTAAAGGGGCCATACTTAAACTACAGTTTTTTTAAATCAGCCATAAAACAGTTTATGTGTAATTATTAGATTTAGCAGCAAATCCATCCTACTCTTGCCAACCGCATTTTTATAGCTGTGTTATAAAACTTAAGATAATTCTTTGGGTTGTGGTTAAAACTTCTTATTTAATATTTCCCTTTTTAAAAAGGGAAGGGGGCAAGATTTCCAAGTAAGTCATCAAAACTTTACATTACAAAACTTAAATGAGGCAAAGAGTTCCAAAAAACAAACTAAGAATATAGTTTTGAGCAACAGTAAAACTTATAGTATAGGCATCATAGCAAAATCGAACCAGGGAAGGAATGAGACATTTTGTCAAGTCAGACTTTTTTAAACAAAATAGCACGTTTTCCTCCACCAGCTATGCAAAACACACACATTTTATGTAAACCACATGTGCTCTGACAAGTACCACCATCCCTTTCTCTGCCTTAATTCCAACGACATTTTACTTGAACTGCAAAGTTTTGGGTCTTGCTTAATAAAGAACACTTTATCTGGTCTTTACCCTTCTGATAATAATACTGAGATAATGCAGATTCAAGTCCAAATTTGACACTTTCACTTATATTACAAAAAAAAAAGGCCTCTTAAAAAGCCAAAAAGCACTCCCCTAACAAGCCCTGTGATGAAGTGTTGGTCAACATTAGAAAATTGATTGCAGGCATGAAATATTAAGTTAAAACAAAGAAAATGTTTTCAACATGTCTCCTTAAGCTGAAGTAAAAATATTTTAACCAATGTGCTAGAGACTTTCATTAATTCAAAATAGCCTGAAAGTAAAGCTGCAATGAAAAAACACACAACCTCTTATTGAAATTCTTTTAGCACATAAAGAGTTGTATTTATTTCACAGAGCAGAGAAAAAAGTCATGAAAAAAAAGCCCACATGTTTGGCAAATATATCTATTAAGCAATTGTCAAAAGCTAATTTTCTTTTCTTTCGACAAATAAAGAACATCCGAGTAAGTCCACAGTTACTCACATGCAGAGCTGAGGGGTCTGGCAGGAACTCAGCATCTTCCCCAAAGATAAAATCAGGGGGCAGCTCTGGGTATTGGGCATTGAAAATTATATCCCCTGAAAAAAAAAGAAAATGTCAGGCCCTTCTTATTTCCTTGTTAATGTATGAATGTTCTGAGGAATATATCATAAAAACTTCTAAAAGAAATTTGTTAGACAAAAAATATATTTGAAAAACACTTTCTGAATGATTAATTCTCCAAACAAAAGAACTGATATCCTCTTTTAAATTAACACCCACAACACTCAATCAAAAAAATTTAATCTCCTAACACACTATAACTATAAATACCCAGTAGAAAAGTATAAGCAGCCACACACCAAATACATGGAGATATATTTATAGGAAATGTTACTGTCTAGTCACTGCCTGCTACATAACAGGCCGTTACCGAGGACTGGTTCTCTAAAGATATAGTCCTTTCCTTGAAAAAAATTAAACATACAAACTTTGTTATAATGGAAAGAACATGTGGTTTGGAGTTAAAAAAAAAAAAATCAAGTTTATATTCACAAGGCCTCCTAATTATTTATTACTCAAGTCATCTTGGACAAGTTTTAACTTCTTTAGACTTTAGTTTCCTCATCAGTAAAAGGGAGTATAATATTACTAACATCACAGACTTGTTGTGAGGATAAAAGACCACTATGTGCTAGCACAGTGCCCGGTATATAGCAAGCACTCAATAAGTGACACAGGAATACTACTGTTGTTATCACTAGTGTTATTTTGAAACATGAGACAAATTACAATGCCTCTTTAGCAAATTTGTGTTGTAAATACTTATACCTCTCTGTTCCTTTCCTGCCTCCTTCTTGAGCTCCATTTTATTCTCTCTGCTCACCCCAAGAATCAGTCCTCATCATTCTGCTAGCACAAACAAGCAGATTAGTACACCAGTAATCTAACATATGTATTGGTTTCTAGTGTGTAAAAGTATGTATACTTGTGTACATGCACATCACTATACCCATGTACACACATAGTTATATCAGTCCAATCATTTTTACTGCTCAAACAATAATACCTTCATGGTGATATCCAAATTTAAACATTCAGACTTCAGTTCTCATTTGAACCCTTCTATCTCTAACTGTGTACTACGTGTTTCAATGTCAAACTCAACAAGTCTAAAAACATGCTCTTTGCTGTCCCTTTTCTCACTTCTCTTCTCCTAGCTGACTTCCCTATTTCTAGGGATGGCGCTGCTATTCCTTAATTACCACGCTGAAACTTTAGTATCATCTTCAATCCTACTCATACCCTTTATACTCACAGAAAACAAAGTGCTTCTCATATGGATATTTCCTGCTGCTCACAGCTCTATCCAGGCCCAGATGACCTAGTCCATACACTAATGCACCCAATTAAAAAACATTTAAACTCTGCTCTAGGCACTATGCTAGGCACTAAAGATCAAACGCTGCTCTTAGAAGAGTTGGGAAGACTAGAAGAATTTAGTTATAACCATATCCTCTTAAATGGTCTCCTGATACCAGTTTCCCTCCAGCCCATAATACATACTATCACAAAGTAAATCTTCTTGAAGTACTGCTTTGCCCCAGAATTTCCTAGCTCAAAAAATCTGGATGATTCTCTAAAGTCAAATGTAGTCAAGGAAAACTTTTCCAACTGGCATCCAAAATACAATGTTCGTATTTATTTATCAATTCTTCTCTCTATCTACAATATCAATTTTATATGATGTGTTCACATGACACGTAGTTGAAATGCTCTTTCCCCTTGCTCAGTTCTTACTCATCCTTTACAAGTCCACGTAAACACCTTTTCTTGCATAAAGACTTCCCTAATAAATTCAGAACAAACTGATCATTGTTACTTCTAAAGTTCAACACTAACTAGTTATGTCATTCTCTTGAGTACTGAAATGTAGTCATTAATTTTATTGTTTCAGTAGTTTTTAAAATTCATAATAAACACATACTACAATGTGAGGCACTGTGATACACACTGTGTCAATACAAAGATGGTTATACTCCAGGAGCTTGCATTTAGTGAAAGAGACAAGACTTATACACAGACCCACAAATAAACAGCAATCCAAGGAAAGTATATATACTTGATCTTCCTAAATATCTTGTAAGCATTCAGAAAATAAACATGCTCTTATACTTATTTCATGTCTCCATCAAGGCAAAATGCAATATAGAGTAGATTCAAGAAATGCTCAATTTATGAAAGAAATTCTATTCTCTACATTGAATATCTAAGTACTGATAAAGTCTACAGTAAAGAATAAAGCATGAAAGAGTTATTACTTCTACCACTTTTACTTGGAAATAGGGAATGTGAGCAAGAATATATCCTTCAGAAGTTGAGTGTAGAATTAAATTATCAAAAGTTAGTACAATCAGTCCCTTAACCCCACCCATAATCATTACCTCTAGTTTTCAACTATGAATTATAAAAAAATTCTTCAGCCCTGGCCGGTTTGGCTCAGCAGTTAGAGCGTCAGCCTGCAATCCAGAGAGACCCAGGGTTCGGTTCCCACTAAGGGCACGTACCTCAGTTACAGTTTGTCCCCGGCCCTGGTTGGGTCGTATGGGAGGCAGCCACTCGATGTGTCCCTTTCACCTCAATGTTTCTCTCTCTCTTCCTCTCTCTCCTTCCTGCTCTATCTGAACAAAAAAATGGAAAAATGTCCTTGGGTGAGGATAAAAAAAAAATTTTTTCTTCAAACCTGCCAACTATAAAGCATTAACCAAGCCAAGACGAAGAACTAGTGAAGACAATACGAATGCCCTGATTACTCATTCTTTTTTATTATTATTATTGGTATGAGAGAGAGAGGAAGGGAGAGAGAGATAGAAACATCAATGAGAGAGAACATCAATTGGCCATCTCCTGCATGCCCCCCACTGGGGATCAGGCCCACAACCTGGGCATGTGCCTTAACCAGAAATCAAACCAGCGACCTCTTGGTACATGGGTTGATGCTCAACCATTGAGCCACACTGGTCGGGCCCTAATTACTCCTTCTTATTCAACTATACCCAGCACGCACAATTCCTTAGCAGGACAGGTACATTAGAGTTTTTTTTTTTTAATCCTCACCGGAGGATATTTTTCCATATTTTGTTCAGATAGAGTGAGAGGGAGAGAGAGAAACATCGATGTGAAAGGGACACATCAAGTGGATGCCACCCACATGACCCAACCAGGGCCAGGGACAAACTGCAACCGAGGTACATGCCCTTAGTGGGAACCGAACCCAGGTATCTCTAGACCACAGGCCAAGGCTCTAACCACTAAGCCAAACCGGCCAGGGCTAGAGATGTGTTTTTAAAAGTCCTACAGTTGGATTACTTTAGTAACTTAGGGGGAAAAATTCATAAAGTTAATAAAGCATTTGCTTTATTAAAGTTTTGGAAAAAGGCAAGCTAGAAACTTAACGCTCAAAAAATAGCATGCTACACTCCAATAGAAGCTGGATTTTCAAGTTCTCAAAGGAGCATTGTCAGTAATACATATTTCCAAACCACTAAACATTAAAAATCTGATCCAAGGATATTGACTCTTGCCAATTCTATTCAACATTGTACTGAAACATCTAGCCAGGGCACTTAGACAAGAAAAATAAATAAATGGCATCTAGATTGAATATAAAATCAAAGAAAAAAATTATGAGAATAAGTTCAGCAAGATTGCAAAATATAAGATAAATGTATAAAATTAATTGAATTTCTAAACATTACCAATGAAAAAATCTAAATTTAAGAAAATGATTTCATTTACAACAGTATAAATAAGAATAAAATACTTAGGAGTAAACTTAACAAAAGAAATGTAAGACTGTATACTTAAAAACAACAAAACACTGTTGAAAACCATTAAAGAAGGCCTACATAAATGGGAAGACATCTCATGTCCATGGACCAGAAGACTTAATATTGTTCAGATGGCAACACTACCTAAATTAATCTACAGATTTTATACAATCCCTTTCAAAATACCTGCTTGACATTTTTTGCAGAAACTGACAAGTCAATCCTGAAAGTCATATGGAAATGCAAGGGATCCAGAATGGCCAAAAATCAGTCTTAAAAAAGCAAAGTTGAAGAACTTACACTTCCCAATTCAAAGCCACAGTAATCAAGGCAGTGCAGAACTGGCAGAAGGAGACATTCTGATCAGTGGAACAGAATTTAGAGTTTAGCAATAAACTTTTACATTTAGTCAGTCAATCTTGACAATGGTGCTAAGATACCTAACCCTAAGATACCTCAATGGGAGGAAAGGAGAGAGAAGGAGAATATATGAGTGTTGGTGAGGTTGTGGGGAAATTGGAACCCCTGTGAACCATTGGTGGGGATGTAAAATGGTGCAACCACTATGAAAAACAATATGGCAGCTCCTCAAAAATTTTTAAATTGTATTACCATATAATTCAGCAATTCTACCCTCAGCATATACTTTAAAAAAGTGAAATCAGTGTTTCAAAGAAATATTTGTGCACCCATGTTCACTGCAGCATTATTCACAATAGTCTAATGAAAGAAACCAAGTGTCTATCAATAGTTAAACAGATAGGCCCAGCAGTATGGCTCAGTGATTGAGCATTGACCCATGCACCAGCAGGTCACTGGTTCGATTCCCAGTCAGGGCACAAGCCCAGGTTGTAGGCATAGTCCCCAGTGGGGGGCATGCAGGAAGCAGCCAATCAATGTTCTCTCTCATCAATGTTTCTCTCTCTCCCTCTCCCTTCCTCTCTAAAATTAATAAATAAAAAGTTTTAAAAAAAAAAATAACTAAACAGATAAACACATACAATGGAATACTATTCAGCCTTTAAAAAGGAAAATGGGGAGTTGTTTAATGGGTACAAAGTTTTAGTTTTGCAAGATGAAGAAAGTTATGGAGATTGGCAGCACAACAATGTGAATGTACTTAACACTACCAAAATGTACACTTGATATTATTAAGATATTAAATTTTATTTTATGTATACTTTACCACAATTTTAAAAAATTAATAAAAGAGTCTGCTATAGATTGAATGTGTCACCTTAAAATTCATATATGGAATCTTAATCCCC